TGGCTGGACATTTGACCCTCTACTAGTTTTTGATCCAGCATGGAACAAGCAGGGGCACGCCTTAGGCGGGTGGTTATATTTCCGAGAAGAATGCCGAAAATTAGTCTTTGAACTAATCTGAATACTGTATATAACCATTGCCAATGTATTATGCAGAAGTTAAGTTCTGTGCACATTTTTCCAAGCCATTTTCCGCGCAAATATGAGCTAGCTTTCAATGCATCATCCACATTCCACGACGAATAAACTGGCATTTTTAGTAATGCCTGTAGTAGTAGTAGTAGGTCCTAGATAGTTCCATGGATCTAATAATTAACATGTAAATTAATGCACTTTATTTAAAATAGTGTTGATTGTTTGTCTAATGTTTGAAATATTATTATAGTTTGTATATGCCTAGGCCTAAACTAGGGGCCTAGGTCGCGCCAGGCAGTTAGTATTCCGTATTCTCTACATACATACAGTACTCAGCAGTACTGCACTAAATGCTAGGCTATGCTTACACAGGTAAGACAAGTTGGTATTTAAACAAGCCTATTTAACGCCACTATTAAGATCACCACTTCCAAGACTTCCTTATCCAAACCAGCAAACATATCTTTTTGAAAGATTCATTCTTCAAAAATGCCTTCGACTTATTTTACTATTATTATTGAATATTTTCGCCAGTCCTAATTTTTCAATTTTCCACTCGCGACGACCATTCTCATCAGTTGGCTGTGTCGTTACCAGCTCGTTACGGTTGAGTGAATCAGCTGACTCCCTGTCTAGTGCAAATTTCCGAAATAAAAACTGGGGCAAATCGTTATTTTACACATAATTGAGACATTTTCATAAGTGAAAACCCATATAAATGAAAAGAACGGCCAAATTTACATTGTAATATCTAAAGTTTGGCACGATTTTTTATGGGGTTACCGAATGCAAGCCTTTGAAAGTCGGTACATTTTAGGAAATTCCCTATCTTATAACACTTGCTCAAAATCCTGTAGCACCAGTTTTTTTTTTGGGACCCAGTTCACGAGCCTCGTTTTCGAATACCGCGCTCCAAAATCGAGTGCCGTCACCGTCGTTGTGGTCGCCCATCCCTCTATTTTAAATTAAAAATTAATTATTTCATCCCCGCACCCTCCCCCCTTTTTTAATGTATGAATGATGTACTGTAATGTATAGCGTGCCTTAAACATAAAATAATAACTAGAAATTGCAAATTGCAAGTGAAGTGCTGCGAAGCCTAGCAACTGCATATAAATGTTCTTCGAACAAAATTATTTATGCGAGTCAAGTGAAAATAATGAATAATAAAAGTATAACAAATAATATGAGACACGACCCATTGTCTATATTAGAACACTTCTCATTGGGTAACAAAGTCGTAATTTTTCATTTTTGTCAAAAAGTGTCAGTGGTGAATTATGGTTTAGGTTTTTTTTTTTAATAAAGTTTCAAAAATGTCTATGTATGTGGAAAATGTAGTTGATTACCAAAGGTTACAATTTTTATTTTGAAGACTGCTACTGTTTTTATGAGGCAAGTTTCCAAAGGCGGGTTTTCTAGGGGCGAGTTGACTGCCAAAGACTGTTGCCAAAGTGCGAGCCAGCGTTATTTGATCACAAGTGCGAGACACAAATTGCAAGTGAAGTGCTGCGAAGTACAACTGCATATAAATGTTCTTATCAATCTACGTAAGTAGGCATAATTAAGGCAATATTAGCCTAGGCCAGGGAACATAGGCCTATATCACTTTATTAGGTCTAAGACTTAGCCTAGGCTAGGCCTGCTTCAGGTCCTATTTAGCCTAGGCCCTAGGCCTAGGCCTAAAATAAAAAGATGTGGGGTGAGCAGGTGCGCGCCCAGCAGGAGCTGTCTCTTATACACATCTAGATGTGTATAAGAGACAGGTATTAAGAGGCAATGTACTATAATTATAGAGAAAATTAGGCAATTTCATAAAAAAGAAGGTATGCTAATAAAAATTACTATTTTCAAAAATCTTTAAATGCGTTTTTCTCAAAATGCACTTTTCCACATTCGCCACTACGTTATATAAGGGACGAATTGTATGGGAATAAAAAATAATGCAGCAGATCCTGGATCCGCCCCGTGATCAGCGATGCCTAGGCGGAGAAAACTAAATCCACTGTGGTAGCAAATCAAATTAAGTAGAAAATTTGACAATGACTATCACGCATAATTATTAAATAGTACGTAATATTACTTTTACATTGGATTTTCGTTGTTCTCTGCACATATTTCGATGTAAAACGATGCCTCGCATGAATCGTTAATTGTTACCTCGTTGTTATGCCTCGCACTTTTGGGAATGGTAAAACGATGCCTCGCATGAATCGTTGTTTTGCCTCGCACTTTAGTACTACCCATTAAAGAAACTAGGTCTAATAATGAATTATTGTGATGTTAAATAGACAATGTTAGCTATCAAGGAGCGACGTTGTTTTTCATTGGGACCTTCGTCTCTTCAAGGCTAGGCCTATACCATCCTAGCTAGTTTAGGCCAGTGTAGGATAAGGCTAGCCTAACTACTCCAGCGCTGTCGAGACGAGTCCGAGTTTACACCTTTCTTCCACATGCAATGTTGTGGTCCAGAAATCAAATTAGCAAAAATATTTAAAAACATAGAAGCGTAACATATTTAAAATACATAAAAGTCTATTTAGATGGGTCAACAATTTTGTGATACATTTTCAAAAATGGAGTACAGTACTAATCAAACTTTATTACCGTATACATTGTAGATTATTATTACAGTAAGGGGTGTATAAGTTGGAAATGTCACATCCATTTTTTTTAATCTACCCCCTCCCCATAAAAAACATTTTGAACCGTGTGTCCTGTGGTGTTTATTAAAATAAAATTACGGTACAGTACAAATTATAGTTTTCTGATTGTAATATAGATGCCAAATTAAATATAAAAACAAAGGTACATGGATGATGAAATAATAAAAAAAAGTTAAAGATTCTGCCTGTTTTAGTACAAAATTTGTTGTTCACTTAAAAAATAGGATTACAATTTGAACATGCAATTTAACTTTTATGTCTTGAATATTTAACATTTCACATATTGTCTATGTTTTATCGAGGGTCCTTAATGATCAATTTCTGCAGGAACTGGATAGGTCATCCTCTTTAAAAATTGTAATAAATAAATAATTATAACAATAATAATAATAATGAGAATGATGATAATAATATAGATGGGCATTTAATTTGTGGATGTGAATGATATAAAAACAATAAACAGATTAACATTGCAACTCTGTCCATTTTATTTATTCCATTTAAAACAAATGACTATATTCCAGGATGGGTTTTTTTTTTGTATAATTAAATGAAGTAGTGTAATCACTAAAATCGAAAAATTGTTTAGCGAATTTGGCCCTCAGATGGCGTGGCCGTCTTGAAGACTGCCAACTATCTGGCAACCCTGTATAGGCCTAGAAATCGGCGTTCTGCTGAGTGCCCGCTGACAGATGATTGTTTCGGGGTTGGCTACGCCTCGTCAGGGTGGGCCTGGGTCATGTGACAATAAAATAACTGATGTATGGAAATGGTTTGATTTTTGTATTGACCTATAAGGTATGGTCATATTATATACATTATTATTTATGCTAAAATATTGTTTTTAACGCTTTTATGGTGTTTCAATCGTGCCTCGTACATTCTATTGTCTACGGTTGTCATACCTTGCAGTCGCGACATGCGGACATTGGTATGTGTGGGTTAGTCTACAAACGTCGCCTAAAGTAATTAATTTTACTCGGCAGAATGAAAGGAAACTCCGCTTTTCAGTCATTTAGGCCCTTGTTTTTTGACAAACAATGACCTTTCAGAGGTCAAAT